TATATATATATAAATTAAACGTCCTTCCGAAGCGGGCGACGAAATTTCAATTCAGGCGACCGACAGCTTCTTACGGGCAACCACTCCCCACGAACTTTTTAGTGCCGACAGGTTCATATGGTCCCATTCCTACCTTATGGCATCAAAGAGTTCAAGAAACACTTTGGTAGCTATCACCTCCACGCCCTGCACAGGGAATGCATCCTGGCCAAGAAGTAGCGTCGACTCTAACCAAGAATGTGCTGGTACCCGAGAGCCTCGAATGCGCTTGCAAAGTCCTAAGTAACTTCTTTTAGTGAAATAAGGAGAGACAGTTGTAGATGACAAAGAAGATTTGAGGGTTTTGTCGATCAGTCGATCCACCATGCTATTGTGTCGATGGAGATGAAGGGCTTCGTCGAGCAAGAAATCGACGTTTTCGCATAGGAGTAGCTCATTGCGGACTTGAAATTGGCTCGATGTGGAAAGTAGGAACGTGACAAACGGTTCCTGGTGCGTGTAATCGAACGAAGATGAATACAGAGGGCTAGGCAGGGCTTTGATGGCAAAAGGAGCTTCTTAGCAAGGAGAACACACAAGCACTGATTGGGTGTGAGACCTAGGCCATTGTAATTGCGTGGCCAAGAGAAGTAGGAAGAAAAAACTACAAGATGCGGGATCAACATCTCTCATATTTGTGTGTCAAGCATCTTTCGGTCTTGAGCAATAGAGTGCGAGACCAGCTAATGATCTCACAAGGGCATGGAATAAACTTTTAAGCTCGCTCGAGAGTTGAAATAGACTTTTAAGTCATGTACATGTTTTCATGCGAGTTTAAGGTGTTTAGTGGCAAAAAGGCTTCAACTGTGAGGTTGGAAAATTTTTTTTAGGTTAATGTATAATAATAATGAAATACCTTAAAGTTAAATTTATTGAAAAAAAAATGAAATGTTAATGACCGAATAATTAATATTAATTAAGGGTAATTTTCATAATTTTTTAGAAAATTGTTAAAAAAATTAAAGCATAGAATTCTAACATTAATAAGAATGATAGTATAAAATTAATAGTAACTATTAATAAGATGATTTTAAGAAATAGATTATATGATTTAAAATAATTTAATGAGTTATATAATACATTAAATATCAAGTAAAGGCAACTTGCTTTCTAATTGTAAGATTATAAATTAATAAAAATAGTGCAATCGGCATGGGTCTCATTAATGATTAAGGTGAGTACTCTTACTTTAAAATTATAGTTTTTGTTTATTCTAAATTGAATTCATTGATTGTTACTGAAATCTAATTGGACTGTTCTATTGTAATTTAAATGTTCTTTTAGATATTGGTCATATCATTGTGATGAATATTTATTTTAGAAATATTACTATTATGCATTATTAAAAAGTATACATAATATAGTGAATTGAATGAAATAATCATATAAATAATATGAAAGACATGATCTGATTGTATGTGCATGTTTGACTATGATAAAGTCACCTCTTTAGGATACTAATAGGGAAATACTAAGGTACCTGTGCATATAAATGAAAATGGATATTAATATCGATGTACTTTCATTGATATAAGTTTAGACATTGTTCTACTATGATTTAAATGCTTTTTTAGATGTTGGTTATATTGTTACGATGAATATAAATTTTAGAAATACTATTATTATGCATTATTTAAAAGTATGCATAATATTTTGAGTTGAATGGAATAATCATAAGAACTATATAGACTGATTGTACGTGCATGTTTGACTATTATAAAGTTACTTCTTTATAGTACAAGTGATTTGATACTAAGATACTCGTACATAAATAAAAATGAATATTAATATTGATGTATCTTCATTTATACAAATTTAGGCAGTGCTTCTGTGACGATTGTATATAGATTCAAAAAGTATTTATATGTAAACAATATACTACAAACTTTCAAATGCTCATAGATTAATTTACATAAATTTGAGCGGTCCTATATGTTATTTTCTTCATTGTGTTACTATAGCTTAGGAGTATCAGTTCACTGGCTAGTTAGGTCGCTATTGTTTTAAACTAACATTTCTTGTTTAACTGTTGAATTAAACGATGAATGATAGAAGAGAATATTTTTGGCAGGTGCAGAAAACAAAAGCTTTAGTAAATTTAACTGTATTGCTTTGATATACTTTTTTAAGTGGCTCTTTCATTCATTAAATTTTAGTTATAAAAAATGAATATTGAAATTTTAATTTCTACCATCCCTGTTTGCACCCGTATTGGTTAACTTTAAGCCTCGGGCTAGGTTGTGATATTATGACGAAAACAAAGTTGCTATCTTGGCAGACTTGTGTGTTTAATTTCTAATTTGACTTATTAATTCATAACTAGCTGGGCCATCTGGTTCGGGATTAACTCAAGCTCGTCACTGTCTACTGATACTCTGCAAAATTCATCTTGTGTTAAAGAGGGACATCCTTGAGTTTATTTTTTGCGATCTTAATGTTTATGGTGAGATTGTGCTGGACTAATTTACTTGGAAAGGCTCAAACCTGTTATGATAACTGTGTTAGTGAATAATTTGGACATGTATTTATGCTCTCTTTCTATCGAACACTCAGATATTCTATCGAAATTTCACATATGAGAACTTATCGTTGGGACGATATAAATTTGAGTTAATTTTTTCTTTACTCTTAATTCTAGAATTATGGTGCTTTCATAGAAAAGGATGGAGCAGGATTCAGGGGTCCAGTAAAGCTGATTGGTTTTAAAGATGGGGAAATTGATCTATCTAGTTCTCCATGGACCTACCAGGTATGTCGTCTATAAGATTCGCATAGTTGTTGCAGCTATAAAACAGTAAGAATAATTGTCTTTGTTATTATTAATTTTGTAGATAGATAACTGAGATAAGTAAACCAGCCACAAGTCAACCTTAGGAGTTTCCTTGAACTACTCTCTTTACTCAAGTTATCTGGAGCATGTGCTGTTTTGGTGCTAAAAACATATCTCCACGCTGCTTCAAATGGGCTATTTTAGAACTGCATATAATGCTTTATTAGTTTTTGAGAGGTTTTCTGGTACTTCGTTATAGTATAGGTGTCTGTACTACAAGGTTCAAAATAAAGGGAGATTATCCTCAATTAAGAGAATATATTATAGAATAACGGCAAAATATTTCATGATTGATAAATTCCAACATGGTAATTTCCGTTAGTATTGCTGCTCCTCAGCATATATATTTTTAAGATCTAATTTGCTGTTAAAGATTGGAAAAATGAAGCTGTCCCCGAGTTTTTGTAGAAATAAAATTTGTCAACTATTTTTCAATGGACATATCAGGTGTGATGGTCTTCTTGAATAAATTGACATTGCTAATGATAATTAACTTGAATATGTTTTATAATTTTATAAAATATAATAACTCGGTTGACTGTACCTCGACCGCTTTAGTCCAAGGTTATTGAGGGCTGGCCGGCTCTCTAGTCTTCTTGGGAGTGCCGCCCAACTGGAGTGGGTCTCACTACAAGTTATCTAGGACTATATATGTGCTTTTGTTGGTGTTTAGGGATCAGTTTTTTGTATATTCCCTTCTAATGCTGTATCTAAGGGGTTCCGAGTGGTACTTCAGCTGTATCTAGTCACCGAGATGGTGTGTATCCCCTTTTACCCTTCCCGCACTCTCTCTCGCATTTATTTCCTTCACCCTCGCTGCTTTCTCTCTTGCTGCTGCCACCCGGAAAGGTAATAAAATCACTGTTTTTCCAGCCGTCTGAAACCCAGAAGACAACAATTCCTGATTTCCAACTTGCTGCACCCTTGCCGAATCCATCGCCTGCTGTCAAACAGCCCCTTCGGCACCACCAACACCTTAAATCCAACCCTGGTTCTAGTGTTGTGTTGTTGTTTTGTTCCAATTCAGTTTTCCCCATTGTTTGTTATGATTTAAGACTTAATTCAGTAGTACTATTTGTTTTCTTTTGGGTGTTTATTAAATTTTGATATCATATAGGGTTGCAAGTAATGTTGATGGCTACTTGACTATCATATTTAAGAACCATGTGCCCGAGCACAAGAAAACCCAATGTTTTAATAAGATTTTCAATTCACTTCGTTTCGTAGGAAAAATAGCTACAGTGTTCATTTTAACATTAGTTCTGAAAATAATAATTTACTTTTTTGCGTGTCCATGAGACTAGCTTTCCCTTCAAAAAACAAAATATCCTGAAATGGGTATTCTATCTCCACTGACTAAAAATTTGAACATCAAAATTTTAATTTTTAAGTGGCGGTGTTTCTAATATCTAGATCTTATTAGATAATTTTTAATATATATTTAGATCCTTAAGACAGAATATTAATGATTCTTTGGTATATGCATATATTAATGTATCACACTAACATTAATGGAAATATTAAGATAGATTCATAATTAGATAGATAAGACTATCAACCCCAACCTCAGAAGGTGATACACTCTGGTATTATGAAGACTGATAAAGAGGTAGTCCTTAACTCTTGAAACAAGTTTAAAATGTCATGAATGATTTAAGCATGTTTTATGCTTGTTCATATATACATAATTATAAATAGTAAGAGTAAGCTTCAAACATTATATTTATGGGTCAAGATAACCCAATTGGAAAGAAAAAAGAGTAAGAGTAAGAAAAAAAAAACATCATGATATTTTATTTCACTAATAAGGTCTATAACAAAAGTGCAATAAAGAAATAACAACTAATAGAAGAAAATAATTGGGAAAAAAACCTACCGAATGGCTACCCTATCCAAACAAGACTGTAGATGGAACTACAATTAAAACTTAAAATTATCAAATAAATACTTAGCAAATAGTTGACTCCAGTGATGATGGTCTCCTAGCGACTTGTTAAAACTAATTCTGAGAAATGTCTTACAAGCTTTATTAAAGCATAAATCTCGCAATAGCTTAAGCCTTACAACATGAATAATAGAAAAACGCAATGTACTAAGATGTTGCATTATAATAGGTGATACTAGTATAGGGTTCTTAGAAGGAGTCTATGAGGTAGATCTAGCTGGGAGATGGTTGTAGAATATCAAGGGAATGAGAATAAACTAGTGACGCAGGAGCTTACCCGGATATGGTATTATAGCTGCTGCAATACTGCGGTCCCTTTTTTTTTCCTTTCTTTCTATTGATTCCTTACTTTGTCTAGTCCTTTCTTTTTTAGCACTTTCCTTATCTACCTTCTTCCTTTTCCATCACATTTCTATTTCTATTCCTTATCTAGTCTATCTATTATTCCTCATTATTTTTAGGTGTTGCCTTCCAAATGTTAGATTTCTGTTAGACTGTTGTTGACGTCCGTTTTCCCCTTTAAAGGTTGTATCTAAGGGATTGGGTGATGCTCCGGTTGTATCTCTCTCCCGATGTATTGATTATTTTCCTCTTATTCCCTTCCGCATCCTTCCACATCGCTCCCTGCAAAATGGCACCTGGATTGTTGTTTCTACAATCTTAAGCCTACCCTACCCCCCCCACCACCCTTCTAGCATTGTTGTTGCCCAAACCGCCTCTCCTTTCTGCTATTCCGGCCCACTCACCGTGCCTTTGCAGCACAAGATAGCCAAGAAACACTTCATGTTGTTTCACCGCTATACACCCAACTTCTGGCTGCCATCATCCAGGATAGCAACCATACTTACTGTCCCCTGCATTTTCGCACCTCCCCTCACATCTAATAGCATTAGCGGTGCTTGTTTGTGTCGTGTTATTGTATTTCTCCTTTCAAGCATGTTGGTTGCAACTGTTTATTTGCTTAAAGTAATAATTGTTGTTCCATTATGATTTGGGTTAACTATAGTATCATTTGATATCAGAGTTAACCTAACCCTACTTCTATCCTAGGGTTTCCTAGCATCCGCCTTAACCCCCCACCAAAAATTCTTTTTCGTTCCAAAATCTTAGACACACTTCGACCTTACCCTAATTTTCCTTTGCTGATTTTCAAAATCAACAAGCCCAAATTAATTTTTCAACACCATCGATTAGTCCCCTACACTTTCTTTCATCTCCCAGCTCTAAAACCTAACCATGCCACCAAGGAGATACATGCTCGAGCCTACCTAACAAGAGCTACAAGGAGAGATCTGACGACTTTAGGGGAGGTTTGTGGACATTGAGGATGAAACCCAGAGGAGATTTTCCTCGACTGGGATCGGGAAAGTTGAAGTGGCGAAAGAGACAGGAATTTCAACCCCTTCTATATTGAGGATTTCAGTGATGAAGAAGAAAAGCCAAAACATTTCAGTATCTAGTATCAAAGGAGGTTGAGGGAAGAGCCGGTATATGGAGAATAGGAGAATCTGAAGATGAAACTGGAGATTCAAGTTCTTACGAGTTTAATATAAACAAAGGGTTTAGACACTAGCTTCAAAAGTGTACAGAACATATCACTAAGCGACCACCATTTCTTGCAGGTAGAATTCAACTTTAGGGTCTTACAACCAGATTACACTTAGTAGAACACCCAAGATGACCCCATCAAAGGAAAAACTGATTCAGAATGAAGAACAAGTGGAACTAATCCACATCCCTAAATCTGTCAGAAGTTGCACATAATTCTAGCTGGATCTGTGTGAGAAACTCTAATCGACTTTACGATGACTGCCCAAGGAAATCTTGAGTTTGAGGAATTGACATCAGAGGCATGACAACTTTAGATAAGAGAATTTCAGATCATTAGATCTATAAACTCATTCCTGAGTTGGCTCTACTGAGGGAGGTCCAACACGTTAGAAATGGGCCCTTTATGTGCCATGTTGGGAAGATTACATGGAGTTATTTAGGATTCAGATTCATTACATCATGGTACTCATGATTAGATGTTTAGACAAGAAGGATGAACCACATTTTTAAAATTTATCTTAGGAGCTTGAGAGGGAAGGAAATTCTTCAATTGGATCCAGGTCTTATTAGTGAAGAAGAAGAAGTCTCTCCTAAGTGGTTACGAGTGAGTGACACAGCCTGCTTCAGATTTTATCCCAGAGCTGATTTTGCCTCACATTCTTTTTTGTCAGTTACATCCTACTGAATACGAGAAGGGGAAGAAGCAGGTTTCAAAATTAAGAGCTTGAGAGTTACATTGTGAAAATTTATATCTATACGCACCTCCAACTCCAACTCAGGGTGTGCCGAAAAAATGTATATTTATTCTTTGAAGGTGTGTTATGGAATAACAATGCCTACAAGATCAACCTGCCGTGAGACTAATATTTCTGCTACATTTAATGTCGTGGACTTAACTTCGTACTACAAGGACCCAAAAGTTTCTGCAAATAAAGTCGAAGCTCCCCCCAATCCCGGGAGATTGAAGCGGGAGCTTACCGGGACGTGGGATTATAGCTGCTACGGTACCGCATATGCCTTCTATTGTTGTCCCTTTTTCCTATTTGATTCTTTGTGTTGTCTAGCCCTTCCTTTTCTAGCACTTTCCTTGACTACCTCATTCCTTCTTCATCGCCTTTCTAGTTTTATTTTCTGTTTGTTCTTTCTACTATTCCTCATTATATATAGGTGTTGTTTGTTTTGGTTAGTGTCGGTTTTTCCTTTCTAGATTTCAAATTTTGTCAAGACAGCAGTTGGCATTCGTTTTCCCCTTGGAGAGTTGTATCCGAGGGATTGGATGTTAGTCCGGCTGTATTCCTCTCCTGAGGTGGTGATTATCTTGCTTCTGTTCCCTTCCTCATTCTTTCGCATTGCACCTTGCTGTCGTATCTTGCTACAGCTGCCCACAATATCACTCAAATAGTTGTTTTCTGTTGTCTTCAGT